CTGTCTCTGAACCCTGACCTCTGTAGCTAACGTTAGCTCTGGTGTCTGTAGCAGGACTGTTGTAGCTAATGTTATTGGAGACTGTCTCTGAACCCTGACCTCTGTAGCTAACGTTAGCTCTGGTGTCTGTACCAGGACTGTTGTAGCTAACGTTAGCTCTGGTGTCTGTAGCAGGACTGTTGTAGCTAACGTTAGCTCTGGTGTCTGTAGCAGGACTCTTCCAGAGAACATGAAAACGTTTGCGTGACCTTTTGTTTCCTGTCGTCTTTCCGACTTCATCTATCTTTTCATCTGTCACGTCTTTTCTCCGTCTGTGTATGTGATTGATTTTTGTGATCTTGTGAAAATGCCAATAGATCTTCTGGTGCAGGTGACAAATCATGGTGTTTCACCATAGACTCTGCTCCTGGTAATGGATTTGTCACTGTTTTTTTTTTTTAATTATTAATGATTCTATTAAACCGAGTCCAGCGGCCGATAAAACCTGTGCGAAGTATTTACATTTAACACTATTCCACGCTGTCTACTCTTATGAAAGTATTTGATATTTCACTCATTACTCCATTAATATTTGATGTCAAATATAAACAAACCACAAACACGTGTCACATTTTAAACCAGCCTCAGGTTTGGCATTTAGACGCTAAGATTTCCAAAAATGATGGAAGGCCAGCAGAGGCCTCAACATTTTTTTTTTTTTTTTTTCAGAAGGCGTTTGTAAATATTTATAGGTTTTAATGACAGGAACATATTTCTTTACTGTGGTCATTGATGTATTTAGAAGTATATCCCACTCTGTTATTAATGGAACAGAAATCTTAATCATTAATAGAAACATGATTAAGAGCTTGGCCTGTTTGTGCTTCTGCTGTTAAACATTTATAGAATTATTACTGCTGTGACAGAGTGAAACCACATGACTGATTCACATATATATATAGGGAGGGAGTGCAACAGGAGCCAGTGCTGTTTTTTTTTTTACCCTGTTGCTACAACATTATTTCAATAAAACGTTTTGAATTTAAAACCGTTTTCCTCAAAGAAATATCTCAATTATCTCAGTTGACTGAGCTTAAGTAAGATGTAGTCGACCTAAAGGAAATGTGTAACATTTTTATACTTAAAAAAATTAATTAAAAAGTTCATAAATATTATATACATACAGTAAATATATTGTCATTTAATATATGGTTATATGAAGAAAGAGAATTAGTTCATGTGACGTTACTTTAAAAACACATTCACCATGATTAAAACTCAGTTTACATTTCCCGCCTTCTAAGTAACAAGCACAGCTCTGATTGGCTCAATTTGTACATTTTAGTTTCCATATATATCGTCACTGCTGACGGTGTCTCGTTGTTATTAGTTGACCAATCAAACGATACATTTACACCTAATCTTTTTGTTTTTCTTTGGGTTTTCATCTTAAAAATTTTTAACTATTTTTTTTTGTTAAGTTTTTGCTAAAAATCACATGTCGACAAATGAAATAACAAATGACAAATTTTTATTTTTTTTTTAAAAAAGTCTTTATTAAATGTATGGCCACTAGTCGACTCAAAGGAAATGTTTATACTTAAAAAATTAATAAAAAAGTTCATAAATAATATATACATACAGTAAATATGTCATTTAATATATGTTTATATGAAGAAAGTTCATGTGACGTTACTTTAAAAACACATTCACCATGATTAAAATCTGTCGACATATGAAATGACAAATGACAAATTTTTATTTAAAAAAAAAAAGTCTTTATTAAATGTATGGCCACACAGTGGAGGAGTGATTAGTATTCATGCCTTACTGCAACAAGGCCAACGGTCGGAGCCCCTACCTTCAACTAATGGTCTAAAAACATGCAGTTCAGGGTCTAAAGGGTTAAAAGACCTCACTCACCCAGGACTGTGAGTGTGACCCCACCGTGACCTCTTGACCCCTGGGTTTTGCTCCAGGCGAATTAAACAGAAAATATGAATCAAATGATTTTCCTCAGTTCATGGAAATCGAGGAGTTTGGACATAAATAATGTTTGTTTATCAAATCCATTTCACTTCCTGTCCTTTATGGCGTTTATAGATGGCCTTAAGTCGCCTTTATTCACGCCTGGTGTATATGTTTATACGTTTCTCAGTGTTTTGTTTTGGTTTTATGACTGGTGTGTGCGTGTTTGTGCTGGTAAAATAAATAGTGTGTAGACTTTTACTGCTGTTTTCTCCCAGGCCCTCCGTCATTAAAACAAAGCAGTGGGCTAACCTCGCTGCATCATAAATCATTAGAACGGAGGAGCTGCAGCATGAAAATGACCAGCGAACACCGAGACACTGGAATAGTCCGAGCTCATTGAACAGAGACGTAATAAAGTTACAATAGAGCGATTCATTTTTATGTTTTTATTTATTTATTTATTCAGCATTTTTTGTCCCACGTGACTTTAAAATAATTAAATGCGTTGTTAACGGATGATACAAACTGAAAATACTGACAGGTAGTTAGCAGTTTATACAAAGACGCACGAGAGAGCGCCACCTAGTTTTGTAATATGTTTAGTTCAAGTAACACGGTATATGACCACCTACGATAAGGGATTTGACGGATATTTTTGCGTTTGTGCATTTACACTCTTTTAATGTCGCATCACGGTTGAAAATGCTAGCATAACCAGGGCTAAAGTTTCATTTTCAATATGTGCCATTCAGATTCCTGGGCTCTGTGGGCTTCAGCCCCATAACATGGCTAACAACAACAACAACACCTGTTCCATAGCTACTTACAACCGTTATCTAAACGTGCCAGAGTAAAGACGTATCTTTGTAGATTTGATCTAAACGTGCTAGAGTAAAGACGTATCTTTGTAGATTTGGGAAAAAAACCTCGGCTTTGTTTACGTTATTTAAGCCTGAATCTTGGCTGAAAAAATGCTGCTTTAGCCTTTAGCTTTAGCACTGTGTGACCTAGCCTGTTCACAGATAATGTGAAAACCAACCAAAACCACCAAAAGGATAACCGTCAGGCTACACTATATTTGAAAAGAAGAAATTTTTTTTGACGTCATCTGAATTGACGCCTCACTTGTTCTGACAGGATACGATCAGCGCTGTGCTCAAGCGGGTTGCGATTGAATTCTGAAACTTCTCATTGTACAGAGTGGGGCTTTAATGATGTTCTCTAAGTCTTAAAACTGAGTAAGTGACGGATCAATCAGCAGAAAAAATGTCTCCCTCTCGGTCACGAGGCTCAGTTCACTGTGCTTCAAATCTTCTCTCTGTGCTCAGTAGATGCTATCATAGTGCTGACGGAGCGTTCTGTCCACAGATAGAATATAAAGCAGGCACACACACACACACACACACACACTGGCTGAAATTAGATGGTGTTTCACTTCGGTGCAGACTTCAATACAGTATAGACAGCAAATAAATGCAGCATCGTGTCTGACTGCAGTGGAACGTTGATGGAAAAAAAAGACGTTTGTGTTTTGATACAGTTTTATGGAAAGAATGCTTCGAATTTTTAACTGTAAAAATTATTAACTGTTTTTTTACATGAGAACTGATTTTCAAAGGTGTACTTTTAAATTCTCATGCTGATGAGACCTTTGGATGTAAAACCTAAGAGTGTGGGGTCGGGAGGTCGGGGGGGGCAGACTGATTGACAGTCAGGTTTCAAACTGTTTAGTATAGAGGGTAAAGTAGAGTAAAGATTTGTTTTTTGTTCCGTAACAATGTGAAAAAACAGTTGGTAATATTTAAAAACCTTTATCTATATTTCATTAATGCACTTGAACTTTTATTCTAGCCTGTATTTATTTATATATTTATGGATGAACGTGGGCTAAAATGGTGAAACCGGTCGATTTCCCAACCAGACGACCGTTCTGTTGAACCGTCGATATAGGACCTAGTTTATAAAATATATACATACATGTATATATAAATATATACATACAAACATGTATACATAAATATATACATACAAACATGTATATATAAATATATACATACATACATGTATACATAAATATATTTATATATTTTATATTCATAAAAAAATATATACAAGTATATATTTATACATGTATATATGTACATAGACATACATATGTGTATATGTAAATATATGTTTATGTATGTATGTGTATGTTTATAATATACAGTATGTAAAGGTATAATGTGTATATTTATATATACTGTATGTACATATAAAGTACTGTATATGCACAAATACAGTTGCTAATACCAGGGTTTGGTCGTTACTTAAAAATACTGGTGACGTGTACTTGTGCAGGAGCGTAATTACACATCACAGCCACTAGTCTGAAACATTCCTGTCACATTACAGACGACTTGCTTGGCTTTGGTTAATGCACCACATTTGTGCGACCTCTCAGGAGGCATTAGTGCAGCATG